TTTTATTTTTTTATTTTTTTTTTAAATTTTTTGTTTATTGCAGTTCAAATCTTAATAAAAATCAGAACTCATGTTTCACTGGTGATTTGTTGGACGTTTAACTCCTGAGAAATTGCACTTTAAAAAATGTCAATTGCAGGACAAGGTTGAGGTTGAATCAGACAGCGATGAGCCTATATGAGGTTCAAATAAAGTGTCTTTTATAGGCATGGAGAGACCTAGAATTGGGGATTTTCTCCACTTATCTGTCTTCTCTTTCAATCCTTATCTCCTCAATAATTTCAATCCAATCGGTGGGACTTCATCTATTTTGCTCTTAGAGAATGTACGAGAATCTACTCCTAGTTTGTCCCTCAGCTGTGTCTTGCCTCTGCTAGGGTATTGTCTATCTGAAGTGCTGGCATCTACTTTGAGATGTGATGTAAGATTCTCAACCCTTATAACATTGTGTATCAGCGGAGAACCATGTTTCCTCCCCACCTCTCATACCTCCAGGCATCTAGAAAACTGACTTGTAGTTATTACAACATGATGGCACCCACACATGATTTCAGTGACCTCATGGTTAAATGAGAGAAGAACCATAGATTAGTTCTTGGAATGAGGTACAACCCTTGGCTGGGGCACAGTCTGAAGTGGGCAGATGAACGCACATAGTGAACGCTATTGACTTTTTGCATGTCCAATTACTAATATCCCATATATCCTGGTAAGACTATCTTGATGGCAACTTTGGCCGACTATCTCTTACCCCCCTCTGTGGTTAAATGGGACTGATCCAGCTTCCTAGTTCCTGGTGTGCTCATGTGCCCCAGAAAGACCAATCAGTTTAATCCACCTCTCTGGCTACATCTACTGATTTAGGAATGGACATGCAAATCATGATCAAGCAATGTGAGTCTGCTGCAGGAATTTTGTTGCAAGCATCAGGGAAAAGCACACTACTTCTGCCTGGAGATGCTGGTGGGTATCCTCCCAGCACATGAAGAGAACCAACCTGAGAACAAAGTCTACACAGTAAAAAGTCACACCTAGACATGGAGAAGACAGATTCCCAATGCAATAATTTGAGCATCTGGATCCATCCATGCTTGAACTCAATACAATCCTAGTGTTTTCAGTTATGAGGGGCAATCATCAGTCAACAAAAATTTCAGCTAACTTAGGAAGCAATCAGTAGTTAGGAAGGAAAGATGAATGGATGTTGTAGTTTTAGAGAGGAATCTACTCCCTTAATTCATCAATGTTTTCCTCCTTAGCTGCTAGAAGATGCTAGAATCTACTCCCTTAATTCATCAATGTTTTCCTCTTTACACTCTTCCCATTAGGGAAAATAGTTGAATGGAAGCTTTCCGATTTCCCTTAATTACTTTCTTTTCTGTAAAATAAAGCACATTAAAAAACCTGAGTGTTGGGGTTGGCCCGGGGTTAAGTGCAGTTAAGTGCGCGTGTCCCGCTTCAGTGGCTTGGAGTTCGCAGGTTCGGATCCCGGGTGTGCACCAACGCACTGCTTGTCAAGCCGTGCTGTGGCAGTGTCCCGTGTAAAGTAGAGGAAGATGGGCACGGACGTTAGCCTGGGGGCCAATCTTCCTCAGCAAAAAGAGGAGGATAGGCGATGGATGTTAGCTCAGGGCTGATCTTCCTCACACACACACAAAAAAATTTGACTGTTGTGTGACCCATTTGTCAAGGCTTACTAGGGGACAGGTTTACTCAGCCTCAAAGGCAGAAACATCCATTTCTGTTTTCTTGTTGAACTTTCTGCTCTCAGGGGCAAAGAGTGTCCAGCTTTTACCAGAGATCCTTGCATTTTAGATGATACTATGTGCTTGCCTAGCCATTGTATTGTGCCAATGCCAATTTTCTGGTTTTGATAATGTACTATAGTTATATTACATCAGGGGAAGCTAGTTGATGGGTACGTGGGAACTCTGTACTATTGTTTGTGACTCTAAAACTATTTCAAAATAAAATTTTTTTTGAAGAAAATGTGTTAGAGAAGACTTTGAATGAGATAGGATGGATCTCAAGATGGGTGGAGCCAGAGCCACACACAGCTGATTTATGGGGAAGATGTTGTCATTGATGGCTTCTTGTTTCCTGAGTCGGTTGCAAGAAGGAAACTACATCAGATGGTGGTGAACCAAAGTGTCAGGGCAAAACCCCTCCCCACACATCCTGGGGACAAAGCGGGCAGGAGGGAGCTGCGATTGCCCTCGTCCCACTTCTTCCTTTGAACTGTAAAACTGAAGAGGACATCTTGGTCCTGGCAGAAAGGACGCTATGATCATAGAATTTCTGTCCCTGCTTTGCCTCGGTGAGTCTGCAAGACTGGGACTGGGACAGATGGGTGAGGATGGGTGAGAAGATTCATGGTGGAGTGGGGGTTTACACAGGAAACAAGGCTAGTATAGATATGATGGCTTCTGTGTATTGCATACATGCGACCTCTCAGAGTTTTGTGGGCTGTGGTACCAATACACCTCGCTTCTGGTGCTGGCACATAAGAGAAAAGGAACCTGAGCTTCAGAGATGTGTAATAATACCTTCTGTTTACTCGGCTGAGAAATGCAGAGCTCGGATGCGGTCTCCAAGTCTGTGTGGTCTAAATACCTGAGTCTTGCCCTGCGTGTTCCATTGGCGTATGAGGGGGCAGGGTCTATAGCGTGTGAAAAGCTGTGAGTTTGGGTACAAATGAGCAATACAGAAAAGACCTATGCCTGGGGATGACGGATAGGAAGAAAATTTCCTGGTCAGCACTATCCTTAGCCTAATTTTAACCATCTTCAATTTGAATAGCATGTAATCAAGCAGACCTCAGCCTGTAAAAAGGAAGACCTTGATTACACTCTTGGCTCAGTCCCCTAGGAGCTCTAGATTTTGACCCAGCATCTCTATCTTACTAAGCTCCCAGTTCCTCCTTTGTGAGTAGGGGTGTAGAGGATAACAGGACTCACCATCTGCCCCAGTTACTTCCTCCTTCTTCTGGGTACAGCCCTTTTCTTTGGGGTAAGCTCCTCCACACACATTTGAGCTTTAGAGGTGGCTGTAGGTCACCATACCCCAAACCTCCAGCTGCAGGGCAGAGTAAGCTGGGCAGTCAAGTGACTGACCTCATCCTCCCCGTATTCATTTCTGAGGGCTGCCAAAACAAGGTACCATAAACCGGGGTGCTTAAAATGACAGAAATCTATTCTCTCATAGACTGGAGGCCAGAAATCCAAAATCAAAGTGTCAGCAGGATTGGTTCCTTCTGAGGGCTTTGAGGAAGATTCTGTTCCATGCCTCTCTCCTCAATTCTGGGGGACGGGAGGCAACCCCTGGTGTTCCTTGGCTTGTAGATGCATCACTCCAGTCCCTCACATCTTCACATGGTCATCTTCCCTCTATGTGTTCTGACTCTGTGTCTCTTCTCCTTTTCTTATAAGGACATCAATCATATTGAATTATGGGCCCAGCCTACTCTGGTATCACTTCATGTTAAACTTAACTAATTACATTTGCAAAGATCAAATAATGCTACTTCCAAAATAAGGTCACATTCACAGGTACTGGGGGTTAGGACTTGAACAGATCTTTTTGGGGGACACAAATCAATCCATAACACCTTCCCTCCAGCCATAATCATTGTTCCAGGGGTGGGTCTATGATGCAAGATGAGCCAGTCCAATTCTGTCGGAATTTTCTCAAATTGGCATTGAGGTTTGAATTTCTTCCCTCTGTGAGTGCAACTTTCCAAATATGCAAGACTGGAGCTGCCTATGGCTGTGCTTCCAGGCTCTTGGTCCTATCCAGACAAGACCCAAAGGGAGCTGGACATGAGAGCTAAGAGAAAAGGGCCTAATAGCATTGAATCTCTGGATCAGGCTTTTCTGGAGGCCAGATCACCACTGCACTTATAGAGGTTGCTTGCATGAACTAATGCAGCTAATCATTCTTTGGCTTAATCTTATTTCAGGTGGACTTATGATATTTGAATCTGTATAAATCTCTATTAGAGAGGGTAAAGGTACCCACAGAAAATTTTAAAAATGTATTGAGTTAAAATTCACATAAGGTTAACCATTTTAAAGTGTACAATTCAGCGGCATTTAATACATTCACAATGTTTTGGAAGCATCACCACTATATAGATCTAAAAGATTTTCATCCCCACTAAAGGAAATGCTGTACCCATTAATCAGTTACTCCCCATACCCCCTTCCTCCATCTGCTGGCAACCACTCATCTGCTTTCTGTCTCTAGATTTACTTATTCTGGATATGTCATACAAATGGAATCATACAATATGCGACCTTTTGTGTCTGCCTTCTTTCACTTAGCCTAATGTTTTCAAGGTTCATCCATGATGGAGCATGTATCAGTGCTATGTCCTTTTCTGCGGCCGAATAATATTCTACATAAAAATTTTAAACTTTCTGATGATGTGTTCAAAGGAGCTATAAAATTATAGATATCCAGTTATTGGTAGTTCCAATTCTGTCATCAATTAGGATTCTGCACCCAATTCTGACGTGGAGAGACAGGGGTATTCCCACACCACCAAGCAATTCTCTGTGACACCAGCTGGGTGTCCTACAATTCTGACCTGGAGATAGTGTCTGATCCCACAGACTGAGGGATCAATCCCACAAGACTGCTCCCGCTTTCTGATGCCAATCACAAGTCCAGGTTGTCACCTGTGCTTCTGACCAATTGGCTATAGATGGGAGGTTCCAACCACCCTCTCCTTGGGTTTCATTAATTTGCTAGAGTGGCTCACAGAACTTAGAGAAGCATTTTACTTACTGGATTACCAGTTTATCATAAAAGGATATAACTCAGGAAGAGCCAGATGGAAGAGATGCATAGGGCAATGTATGGGGAAGGTCGAGGAGCTTCCATGCTGTCTCTGGGCACACCAATCTCCCCAAATCGCCACATGTTCACCAACCAGAACGCTGTCCTTCTGGGTTTTTATGGAGGCTTCATTACATAGGCACAATTGATTAATCATTGGCTATTGGTGATTGAACTCCATTTCCGGCCCCACTCCCCTCCCAGGATAGGGAGGCCAGACTGAAAGTTTCACCCCTCTAATCACATGGTCAGCTTCAGTGTCAACCAGCCCTCATCCTTAGGTGCTTTCCAACAGTCAACTCATTAATATCACAAAAGACACCTTTATTGCTCTCAACACTTAGGAAATTCCACGGGTTTTAGAAGCTCTGTGCCAGCAAAGAACAAAGACCAAATGTGTATTTTTTTTGTTACAAATCACAATATCATAATAGTTTTTATTGTCACTTTTTTGAGGGAACTATGGTTTCTGTTGTCCCCTACTCTTCCCTATCTCAGTTGAAGGTAATAGCACCTAACTAGCATGGAAATTGTATCCCTCTCCATTTGACATATGTAAAGACCTTACTAAACGTTAAATCTATGATAAGTGGCGGAGGCAGGTGAAGATGGTAGCTGTATAGTAAATGATAGCGATCTGTAAGGGACCTGCTAAATACCATAAGTATATAAATGGTTGATGAATGTAAAGTCTGCCAAAAGATAGATACTCGATAATTGGTATTTTTTGTTGTTTTTACTTTTTTTAATTTAAGTATTATTGACATCCATTATGTTAGTTTCTGGTGTACAGCATAGTGATTCAATATTTATAAGCATTATGAAATGATCGTCATGATAAGTCTAGTTACCATCTATACCGCTCTAAAGTTGTTACAATGCTATTGACTATATTCCCTATGCTGTATATTACATCCCCATGGCTTACTTATTTTATAATTTGAAGTTTGTACCTCTTAATCCCTTTCACCTATTTGTCCCAACTTCCCACCTTCCTCCCCTCTGGTAACCATCGGTTTGTTCTCTCTATCTATGAGTCTGTTTCTGTTTTGTTTTGTTTGTCCATTTGTTTTGTTTTTTAGATTTTACATATAAATGAAATCATATGGTATTTGTCTTTATCCATCTCGTTTATTTTACTTAGCATTATACCCTCTAGGTCCATCCACCTTGCCACAAATGGCAGGATTTCATTATTTTTTTATGGCTGAGCAATATTCCATTGTATATATACCATAATTTCTTTATCCATTCATCTATTGATAGACACTTAGATTGCTTCCATATCTTGGCTATAGTAAATAATGCAGAGAACATAGGGATGCAGATACCTTTTGCAATTTTTTATTTATTTATTTTTCTCACCCAAAGCCCCAGTAGATAGTTGTATGTCATAGATGCACATCTTTCTAGTTGCTGTACGTGGGACACGGCCTCAGCATGGCTGGAGAAGCGGTGCGTCGGTGTGCGCCCGGGATCCGAACCCAGGCCGCCAGCAGCAGAGCGTGCGCACTTAACCGCTAAGCCATGGGGCCGGCCCTACCTTTTGAATTAGTGTTTTCATTTTCTTCAGATAAATATCCAGAAGTGGAATTGCTGGATCATATGGTAGTTTTATATTTAATTTTTTGAGGAACCTCCATGCTGTTTTCCATATTGACTGCACCAATTTACATTCCCACCAACAGTGTATTAGTGTTCCCTTTTCTCCACATCTTTGCCAACATTTGTTATTTTTTGTCTTTTTGATAATAGCCGTTCTAACAAGTGTGGGGTGATAATTCATTGTGGTTTTGATTTGCATTTCCCTGATGATTAGTGATGTTAAGCATCTTTTCATGTGCCTGTTGGCCATCTGTATATCTTCTTTGGAAAGATGTCTGTTCAGATCCTCTGCCTATTTTTTAATTGGATTATTTGTTTTTTGGATGTGAAGTTGTATGAGTTCTTTATATGTTTTGGATATTAACCCCTTATTGGATATATGATTTGCAAATATCTTCCCTCATTCGGTAGCTTGTCTTTTCATTTTGTTGGTTTGCTTCACTGTGCAAAAGCTTTTTAGTCTGATGTAGTCCCATTTGTTTATTTTTGCTTTTGTTTCCCTTGCCTGAGTAGATGTGATATTCGAAAGGATACTGCTAAGACTGATGTCAAGGAACATACTGACTATGTAAATCTTCTAGGATTTTTATGGTTTCGGTCTTACATTCAAGTGTTTAATCCATTTTTAGCTCATTTTTTTGTATGGTATAAGATAATGGTCTACTTTCATTCTTTTGCACGTGGCTGTCCAGGTTTCCCAACACTATTTATTGAAGAGACTTTCCTTTCCCATTGTATGTTCTTAGTTCCTTTGTCGAAAATTGGCTGTCAATACATGTGTGGGTTTATTTCTGGGCTTTGAATTCTGTTCCATTGATCTATGTGTCTGTGGTAGTACCATGCTCTTTGGATTACTATAATTTTGTAGTATATTTTGAAGTCAAGGAGTGTGATGCCTCCAACTGTGTTTTGAGGGCTTATCTTTCCTGTGCAGAATCTAAGGGTCTGGGTACCCAACGTGGAGCTCAAATCCCTCGGTTCTCAGAGAAGTTTTGTTCTTTTGAGATCTCTCCCGATTGTGGATCACTGCAGCTGAAGTGTGGTTTTTTCCCTGGGTGAGCCCATGACTCTGCCTCTTTTACCCTTCTCGATACTATCATTTTATTATTTCTTGTGGAGTCTCTGTTCCTCCTATCTTCAGGTCTCTTTCAGAGGGAATTATTCCAAATGTAGCTGTAGATTTGTTGTGTCCGGGGGAGGAGGTGAGTTCAGGATCTTCCTATGGCCATCTTGACCTCTGCCTTGGTCGTTTTTTTAATTTTAGTTATTTCCTGAGAAATATGCTTACTGATGTTACCCGTTCCTCCCTTCCTCAGAATTCTAGTAATATTCCAAAGAGCTATCCATACACCTATATTTATTCTTTGCTTTTTCAAGTTATCCTAGATGCCAATGGGTCTCTTCTTAATAACAGACTTCTCCATTGGAGCCAATTCTCCTTGCCTAAGTCAATTGTGGTCCCTTATTAAGAAAGACGAGTAAGTTCTGAGGGTCTAATGTACAGCACAGTTATTATGTTGATAATTCTGTATTATACACTTGAAATCTGCTAGGAGAGTAGATCTTAATCATTCTCACACACAAAAAAGGTAACTATGTGAGGTGATGGATGTGTTAAACAGCTTGATTGCAAGAATCATTTCACAATGTATGTGTATATAAATCATCATATTGTACACATAAAATATGTTACAATTTCGTTTGTCAAAAGAAAGAACCACTCTTCCAATTCTTACAGCCTATTCCTCCATAGACTTTCATGATGTAAATGAACTAAAGGCTACTATGTGCTTATTAAAAAAAAAAAAAAAAAAGAATGGGAGTCACTATTTGAACAGAAGATTGGCTGATCACAGAGCTGAGATGACATGAGTCTAAAGGCAGGATTCGGGGAAGGATTGAAAAGAGACCATGAGACCTAGGACCCCTTGACCACACAAAAGCCAATTCCCTACCTATTCATCCCAGCCATTCTCACTGCTAATGCAGCTTTGGTCCTTTGTCAAACCCCCCACCTCTTTCCCTCTCGGTGAAGCTTGAGGGTCTGTGTTGTGAGTCAACACCTGAGTCAAATTTCTCATGTCTAGAGAAATTCTAGCTTTACCCATAAACAGACCCCAAGACCGGTGTCCCACTTTCCCTACAATATGGGACTGGGGTCCCATTCTTCCATCCATAGAGTGACATTCCTATCCCAGAAGCAAATATAAAGAACAGAACATGGAAGATGTGGGGGCTAAAATATGCAAAGAGCAAAGCCACAAGTGAGGAGAGCATTTAGGATCAGAAAACGTCTTGATTTCTTTAAGAGGAGAATGACTTGGTCTGGGAGAGCAGATTCTCTCCATTTCAATGAGGGAAGAAACCCTCCCTTGACAGCCCACTGTAGAATAACCCCTACATTATTTAACTGGTAAGGATAAAAACTGCAGTCTCAGAAAATATGAGAGGAAAATATAGGTAAACATTCAACGATTTTAGGTGGCGAAAGAAAGAATAATCATGAAAGCAATGCAGTAAATCAGAAAAGGTTTCTGGAATTTTCTACATAAACATAACTTCTGAAGGACAAACAACATGACAAATATCAAAGGTAAAAAATAAACCCAGGGAAATAGCTAGAAGGACTAGGACAGATCTTTAACAAATTAGTTGTGCATTCTCCGCTGATTTGTGCTCAAAGATAAACACATCATTCATCTCTCATGAGGGTTTCTCTTCTAGGGCTTTGTCTGGGCCATGAAGATGAGAAAAAGAATGGTGAGTTGTCTCTCATGCACTCTGTTTGTTCCTGCATCCCCAGTTTCATGACCTATTCCCTTTAAACCTCTAAATTCTAAGAGGGTGTTCATGGCCTTCAGGGTGAAGAGTCAAACTAACTCTGAATTCTTTCCAGAGAAGCTTCCCAAACCCTTCCTCATCGCCTTGCACAGAACAGTGGTTGAACGCAGTACTAATGTGACCCTGAAGTGCCAGTCTCCCTTCCAGAATGTGACATTCATGCTGGGGAAATCACAGGATCCTAGGTACAAGCAGGAGCAGATAGCAACAGGAAATGAGACTAAATTCCTCCTCACTGACCTGGAGCCTAGGGATGCTGGAACTTACTTTTGTTCCTACAAAACAACAGCCTCCCACGAGTGGTCAGAGAAGAGTGAACACCTGCAGCTGATGGTCACAGGTGAGAAGGACAGCTTCAGGTTTGCTCTTTGATCCACATATTCCTTTTCCTGTGATGGGATCTGGCTGGGGAAGAAGGAATCCAGGAAACAAAAAGACAGATACGACACCATCAGTGTAGGGAACTGGGGAATGGAGACTGAGTGTGGGGACAAGGCTCTTATTGGGGAATCTGAGTGGGTCTCGATGTGGATGTGGGAGAGTCTTTCAGAATATAGGTATTAATAGAAAATTTGAGGTATAGTAAGGCCAAAGATGAAGAGATGATTGTCAGTGAAAAGACAGTTTGTTACAGTTCCCAAGAGGAGGGGGAAATCTGTGCCTTGCAGGACCACACAGGGAAGCACCAGGGTCAGTCAGGAGCAAAAGGAGGGGAGAACTGTGGGCAAGAGGCTTTATTGTGGCTTCGTGAGAAGGAATAGGCTTAGGATTTGTTCTGGGGTGTTGAAGCTGTCCCTGGTTTTCCACGACCTGACTCTAGAGTGATTAGGGCAGGGGAATAGTGGTCCTGAGTGTGACAGCCCAGTGAAGGAAATGTTTGGGAGGGTGGGCTCTGGATGGCTTGATTTGCATTTGAAAGGTATGATCAAGGGAAAGTTATTTCCCATCTCTAGGAATTGGATAACCCTGGGAGGGGAATCCCTTCAGGCTCAGCAAGGTGTCAAGATATCAAAGCATCAAATGCAGAAAATAAAAGGCATGGTTAATACAGAGACGTGGATGAGAACGTCCCCAGGTACAGTGGAATACTAGAAGCCCTGCCTTTCCCTTTACCCCTAATGCCTTGTCCTCTTCAGGATCAGTCCTAAAACTTTCCCTTTCAGTCAATGGAGAGCCTGAGATGACTCCAGGTCACACTGTCACTCTCTGATGTCTGATTCCATACAATGGAACTGAATGTATCATTATTGCTCTGCTGAAAATGAGGATCCCGGAACCATTACAAGTCAAGAAAGTAAGAAAAAAACAAACTGAGCATCATAGCAGCATAAGACATCCCTTGTTTTTGTCCCCCACTTATGCAACAAAGATTCAGCAGTCATCCATGAACAAAAGTGCCTCTGTGGGAGTTGTGGGATCCAGCATCATACACCAAGGGAATTGGGAGGGGCCTTCCCCAGCTGTGCATCGGGTAGTGGGCAGACGGTCCTCAGTACTGGCTGTAGAACCTGTAGGAGACTGTGAAGCAGTTCCAGCCCCTCTTGGCTGTGGTCCAAGAACATCTGGAAAACACAGATTTGGGCAATCACCTACCAATGAGAGAGCCTTTGTGGAAGTCTACAAACCAAGACTGAATCAAGAAGAAATAGAAAATCTGAACAGATCAGTGATGGGTAAGGAGATTGAATCAGTAATCAAAAACTTCCCAAGAGAGAAAAGCTCAAGACCAGATGGTTTCACTGGTGAATTTTACCAAATGTTTAAAGAAGAAATAATGCCAATCCTTCTCAAACTCTTCAAAAACAATTGCAGAAGAGGGAACACTCGTACACTCACTTCACAAGGCCAGCATTACCCTGATACGGACAGGGTATCCAGATAAGGACACTAAAAGCAAAGAAAACTACAGGCCAATACTTTGATGAACATAGATGCAAAAATTCTCAACAAAATGTTAGCAAACCAACTTCAACAATACATTAAAAGAATCATACTACATGATCAAGTGGGATTTGTCCCTGGGATGCAAGGATGGTTCAACATACACAAATCAATAAATGTGATACACCATATCAAGAGAGTGAAAAATTCATATGATTATCTCAATAGACACAGAAAAAGCATTTGATGAAATACAATATCCTTTTGAGATAAAAACTCCCAACAAATTGGGTATATAAGGAATATATCCTAACACAATAAAGGCCGTATACAACCAGCCCATGGCTGACATCATACTCAATGGTGAATAGCTGAAAACTTTTCCTCTAAGATCAGGAAGAACACAAGGATGCCCACTCTCACCACTCCTATTCAACATAATACTGGAAGTCCTAGCCAGAGACTCAGGCAAGACAAAGGAATAAAAGGCATCCACATTGGAAAGAAAGAAGTAAAACTGTCTTTATTTGCAGATGATATGAGCTTATAAAAGGAAAAAGTCCTCAAGACTTTTAGGAAAAATCCTAAAGACTCAACCAAAAAACTGTTAGAACTCGTCAATAAATTGAGTAAAGTTGCAGGATATAAAATCAACATACAGAAATCAGTTCCATTTTTATATACTAACAATAAAATATCTTAAAAAGAAATAAAGAAAACAATCCTATTCACGATAGCATCAAAAACAACAAAATACTTAGGAATAGATTTAACCAAGGAGGTGCAAGATCTGTATGTTGAAAATTACAAGACTGATGAAAGAAATTGAAGTGGACACAAATAAATAGAAAGATATCCCAAGTTCATGGATCAGCACAATTAATATTGTTAAAATGTCCATATTACCCAAAGCCATCTATAGATTCAATGCAATGTCTATCAAAATTCCAATGGCATTTTCACAGAAATAGAATAAACAATCCTAAAATTTGTATGGAACCACAGAAGTTCCTGAATACCCAAAGCAATCCTGAGAAAGACCAAAGCTGGAGGCATCACACTGCCTGATTTCAAACAATACTACAAAGCAACGGTAATCACAATAGTATGGTACTGACATAAAAATAGACACATAGACCAAATGGAACAGAACCGAAAGCCCAGAAATAAACTCAAGCATATACAGCCAACTAATATTTAACAAGAGAGCCAAGAATACTCAATGGGGAAAGGATAGTCTCGTTAATAAATGTTGCTGGGAAAACTGGATAACCACATGTAGAAGAATGAAATTGGACCCTTATCTTACACCACTCACAAAAATTAACTCAAAATAGATTAAAGACTTAAACATGAAACCCAAAACCATAAAACTCCTAGAAGAAAACAAGAAAAAATCTCCTTGACATTGGTCTTGGTAATGATTTTTTGGATATGACACCAAAACCACATGAACAAAAGCAAAAATCAATAAATGGGACGACATTAAACTAAAAGTCTTCTGCAGAGCAAAAGAACAATCAACAGAATGAAAAGGTAACCTACAGGATGGGAGAAAATATTGCACAATGGTGGTCCTCTTTCCCAGGATGGGGAAGATTGGCAAGGATGGGATTGAAAGAGGGAAAATTGGTGGTGTCCTTCATAAAAATTTTTGTTATTAAAAATACTATGAAACTCCAGGAGTATTAAGAAGAGTAACCAAATCTTTGACCCTGTTTTGGGGACACAATGAGCATTGAGAGAATGGAAAAGATGTTCTCTTCCCTACTTCCCAAAGAGGGCATAGAGTCTCTAAGTAGAACATGAGTACTTATGTCCCCAAAGTTCCCATATAATCATTGTGACTCTTTCTTCTGCATCTTGTTTTCTAGACAACCACACTGGACATGGAGCTTCTTCAATAAAAACAGGTAAAACAATCAGAGAGGAGATGTTTTTCCCAGTTACATCCACCTCATGAGGCAGGAGGTCCCGTTGGATTAAAAGGCACAAGAAGAATCTTATTACCCACTTTGCCAATGTTATTGGAGGAATGACTCCCTTTTGAGTGGAGATGACCTCTAAGCCACTCCTGGGTTCTGAAAAAACTGATGAGTAAAACAGCACAGCTGCATTGTCTGCCATGTTACATATTGAAAAACCATAGTGGAGTTTTGTGAAGAACGGAGGTGAGTTTATGTGCTGGGTTGGACAGCAGGACTGGGACTTTGGGAATATGTATGATCAAGGACTTGGCTAAAACTTTAAAGTTCTCAAAAGTAGATAAATATTAAATCCTTTCCCTCTGATGTTGGTTTTCCATGAAGAATTGACTAGGATTCTGTCCTCAGAGACTCTTCTAAAAGTTAGAGCTTTTGGCAGCTTTAGACTGAAACAGGAGCTCATCCAGATTTTAATGGCCAAACATATGATGTAAATTGGCATCTACATGCTTAATCATCCTTTCCTTCTGCAACTCATAACCTCCCTGTAACCTACTCCAAAGGGCCAAAACTATTCAAGGTTTTCATTAGAGTCTGTGTCGGTATAATCTAGTTTTTTAAAGGTATCCTCCAAAATGTCCTTGCAAAATAAGTAATAACCTTTGAAATTGTTTTTATTCAGTATTAGCAGACTTGGAAATGACTGCTACTCCAGCTTTATGAACATAGTTCATACCAGGAATGTTTTCTTGGAGAGATCTGAAATCTGATAGAGTTGAGGAGCATGGAAGTATCAGAAATGAGGTGGGAAGTCTAGCAATGTGTGAGAGGGAGGAGGAAGAGAAGCTTTCGTATTTTTAGCTGTTGTATAACATTTCTTTTCTTTATCTATTGATATATAATTCACATTTCATAAATTCACCCATTTAAAGTGTACAAGTGAGTGGCATTTAGTATATTCACAAGGTTGTGCAACAATCACCACTATCTAATTCCCAAAATAAAATCTCGTACCCATTAAGCAGGGGCTCCTCATTCCCACCCCCAGCCCCCACCAGGCCCTGGCAACCATTAATCTGCTTTCTGACTCTATTGTTTTACCTATTCTGGATATTTCCTATAAATGGATTCATGCAATATGTGGTCTTTTTTGAGATTGCCTTCTTTCAGTTAGCATGAGGTTTTCAAGGTTCATCCATGTTGTAATATGTATCAGCACTTCATTTCTTTTCGTGGCTGAAAAATATTCCATTGTGTGGATAGACCACATTGTGTTTACCAATTCATCAGTTGATGGACATTGGGCTGTTTGTACCTTTTGGCTATTGCAAGTAATGCTGTTATGAACATGAGTGTACATGTATCTGAGTCTCTGTTTTCTATTCTGTTGGGTATCTACCTAGGAATAGAATTGCTGGGAATATGGTGACTGTATATTTAACTTTTTGAAGAACTGCCAAATAGTTTTCTAATGTGGCTGTACCATTTTACATTCCCACCAGTAATATATGTGGCTTCCAATATCTCCACATCCTTGCCAACATTTGTTATTTTCCTTTTATTTTATTGTAGCCATCCCAGCGGTTGTGTCTATAATTTCTTAAGATGTACTTTCTGAGTTCATATTTATACCACCACAATTATAAACAGAATAAAAATCTTTAAGCACAGATATGCTGTCCCAGCCTGTGCACATATGTCTCAAAGCTACCAGAAATGGACCCTCTACTCCAACGCCGGGCAGGGACTGACGGTGAATTTCGTTACCTAACTTGGACACAAGGCCAGGCTTTCCTTCTGATGCCTGTGACTTCATTTATGTCCTGTGTCAAGCTGTATCCCATTGCTCAGTCGGATTTCTTCAAACCGATATCATAGAACCTTTGTAATATACTTTGACAATTTGTAAATAGTGATGTGAAATGTGACCAGGATATGTGGACATCTCAGGGTGAACCCAGATAAGCAGGTTGTGGGGCCATGTGAAGAGAAAAATTTTGCAATAATTTACTTCTCGTTTCTGGCAAATTTCTGAGTGAGAGTAACTATAGGTTGGGCAAGGGGAGAGTTGAAAGGATAAGGTAAGGTTGACGTTTCTCTGCTTCCATCGAGGGGCCCTGAAGGTCCCAGAACAACCGTTCCCGCCTTGCTTTCATATGTCCATGGAGACGCACTGATAGCATTGTTGCTTTTGAGGGTCTGTTGGATTCGGTGCCAGGAGAAGCAGACCCTTAAATAAGTATTAGTGTGAAAGTGACATCTTAGGAGAGAAGGGAAGAAGGGTTAGGAGGAAAAGACACTAAGCAAGGATGGGATATTCGGGTCCCTTAGCTGGTATCTTTGCTCAATCCTGCAGGAAAGCCCAAGAGATAGAGAAAGTCACAAGTACACGAGGCCAGAGCTAGGGCATTCATGTTCCTACAAATGGTAGTCATTGGTAAAGGGGTGCCCCTGAGGCACATAATCCCAAGGCATTTCTGATCCTTCAAGGCAGTCTCCCAACAAAGAGATGCAAACGTTCACGTCGGAAAGGGAAAGAAACCATGATCTGGAGTGCATAAAATGGCAGAGGGATCTTGAGAACACGGGAGGAAAAGCATGACAGCGTCTGCTATAGAGGGAGATGGTGTGGGAGGAATATTGGGTGAGAAAATAATCATTATCTCTGCAGTCTCATTATCCTACACGGTGAGTCAGATTTTAGACTGAGCGCTTTAAAGCCAGTATCTTTCCTTAGCACCTATCTCTTCAAGTTAGGTATTGTTATGAGCCTTCCTCCCTCCTTTTTCTCCAGCTTTATTGTGGTATAACTGACAAATAAAATGGTAAGATATTTACAACGTGATAATTTGATATATGTATACATTGTGAAAGGATCTCCCCACTGAGTTGATTAATATATCCCTCACCTCACATATTTACCCTTTTTTTTTTGTGAGAATGCTTAAGAGCTACTCTCATAGCAAGTTTCAATTATACAATACAGTGGTATCAACTATACTCACTTTGTTATACATTAGATCCCCAGACCTTATTCATCATATAAGTGGAAGTTTGTAACCTTTGAACAACATCTCCCCATTTCCCCCACCCACCGCCCCTGGCAACCATGATTCTATTCCCTGTTTCTATGAGTTCGGTTTTTTTTTTTTAGATTCCACCTGTAAGTGAAATCACGCAGTGTTTGTCTTTCTCTGTCTGGCTCATCTCACTTAGCATAATGTCCTCCAGGCTCATCCATGTTGTTGCAAATGGCAAGATTTCCTCCTTTTTTATGGTTGAATAATATTCCATCATATATACCAGATAGAAAATGATTCTTGAACTGGGTGAGAGTTTGAACTTTCATTCATCTGTGATTGGACTTATCGCCTCTGTAGCATCACAGTTTGTTGGGTAAACGTGTGTCTCACCAGATTATGAGTTCCCTAGAAGATCACTTTTCTCGTATTTCCACACCCAGTGGCCAGCACACAGCTACCCTGACCTTGTGGCTGACTGGCCTAAAAGGTTAGACATATCAGGATCCACAGCCCATCCTGTCAGTGTGACTTTGGGCAATTCATTGTACTTCCTGGTACTTTGTTTATTGTTTGAATGAAATGCAAACAGTAAACCTGTCTTGTGTGCTTATTGCCAAGATGAGAGAGAACACATAAGAAGAAACTAGCGCAGAGTGTCTCACAATAAATGATCAGTATTATTGCTATGAGTGAAACATTGATTGCAAACTTCCCATGTGCGAGGCTCTGCGCTAACCCTCTCTGTAGGTACTGACCCATTTCATCTCCCTACCTTCCAGTGAAGTATCCACTATCTTTATCCTCACTTTGAATGGGGAAATGAAAGCTCAAAGAGATTAAGCAAATTCGCTAAAGCAATTGGAAGTGCCAGCTTCGAAGTGGCAGTTCCGTTTCGAAGCCAGGTCGTCTGACTCCTCGTAACTGCTCTGCTTAACCCTATCAGTGTGTTTCAGGAGCCAGACTGATTCTCTGATCTGCTTCTCTCCCTCCAGACACCAGTGTCATCGCTGTCACCACCTTCAGCTGCCTTTCCATCTTTCTCCTTTTCCTCTCAGTCCTCTTCATCTACAGATGCACTCGGCATGGTGAGTTCAGAGAAGCGGCAGTTAAAAATGCTGGGGAAGGGGCGTAAAGGGAAGGATTTTCTCATTAGGTAAATTCCTCCCTGGATTCTTTTTTATAGGCTCATCACATGAAGAACCCACCAAGAGGTAAATATATCTGACATATCTTGTGTCCAGCTTAACTCGCACTCCGTGCTTCAGGGACCCCCCCCTGCACATCAGTGATTTCACGCCCAGGACCACCTCTCTCAGCCCGAGCTGTGACCTTCCTCCTCTCCTCTCCAAAGCCCTATCCTCTCCCCCAAATCTTCAGATCCTGTGCTTCAATGTGCTTCTCTCTCTTGTAGAACCAGCAATTCCGAATTTCCCGTGCAGGAGGCTACAGGTAAGTAACAAAAGAAGAAACCGCAAGAGATGGGATAGAAAGACTAAAGTCTGACTCCTGCAATCTCAGAACTGAATTTTTTTTTTTCTCACTCACATGCAGATTTATCCAAGCTGGAAAGGATATGTATCTTGGTGAGTTCTCCCCTTTGGAATTCCCCAAGAGCTCACTTGCTCATATAGCGGTACTCTGGTTATGTGGATGCCCCCAACTCACACAATTGACAGGAGGCCAACTAACATTGTGTTTAAAAACATGTGCTTTGAGCGAATTCCTAAAAACAGAGAGTAGAATGGTGGTGACCAGGGGCGGGGGGGGGGCGGATTGGGGTGATACTGTTTAAGGGTACAAATTTGCTGCTATTAGATACATAAGTGCTGGGGATCCAATGCACAGTATAGTGATGATAGTCAACAGTACTGTACTATAAAACTTCAAAGTTGCTAAGAGACTAGATCTTAATTGTCCTCACTGCGAAAAAGATATGATAATCATGTGACCGTGATAGAGGTGTTAGCTAAAGCTATGCGGTAATCATATTGCAATATATAAATGTATCAAATCAATATGTTGTACACCTTAAACTTACACAATGTTACGTGTCAGTTATATCTCAATAAAAAACAAACAAACCATGAGCTTTGAGATCCAGAGTAGCTGGATTCCAGCTCCTAATGCCTACTATTTATCACCAGTGTGGCCTGAGACAAATCACGAAATCCCTGTAAATTAGATCTTTCATTTCCTCCCATATCTACTGGGAATAAAAATCGCCATTGAAAAGGCTTGTGCAAATCCGGAGGTGTCATACACATGAAGGGTTTATTGCAGTGTCCAGCAAACTTTAAATGTCAGATGGATGGTATGAGAGCATCAATTAACAAATGTTAATAAATTTACATCAGTCTTTTTTTTCTATTTAAAATACTGTTTATTTGTGATTTAACATTAATTAGCATTACATCTATAAGCAATATCAGATAACATTTATACATATTTGAACAGGACACAGAGGTTCATTGGTTCATTCTTTATGCCAAAGCAAGTAAATAGAGGCATTACCAAAAGGTGCAAATAGTTCACTGTTGCAATTAAAAAATATCTATCCACATTGCATTCATTTACATATTTTTAAAAAGATATGGAAAAGCATCGTTGATAGGTTCGAAAATTAAGCATCAATCAACAAATCTTGTCTATTTTAAATGTTGGATTAGTGGCATTGACTAGCAAATTGTTGATAAAAATAACAGTATAATAATATAATATTATGATGTGGAATATTCCATACAATGGAATACTATTCAGCAATAAAAAAGGAAGAACCTATCTATATATGTGATAAATAAATACACTTCAAAAACATTTTGCTAAGTGAAAAAGCCATATACAAAAGGCTGTATATAGTATTGTTCCGTTTATATAAAATCTCCAAAAAAGGCAAATCAGTAGTTGTTTATAGCTGGGATGGGGGTTGGGGGTGGAGAGGGGAGTGCAAGACTTAGCTGCAAACAGGAACAAGGGAATTTTGGGGGTGATAGATGCTCTAAAACTGTATTGTGGTGATAGCTGCATCGTTCTACAAGTTTATTAAAAGTCATCAAGTTATACACTTATAATAAGGGAATTTTATGGTATATAAATTTTATCTTAATAAAATCGTTTAAAAAATAATATAATATTATATAACCAGTAGGTATTCTCATAGGATGGTAGTTCTTATCTCAAAACCATACATTTGCAATGATCTTTATAAGCACCAGTTACCATTGATTGTTAGTCTCATTTTATTAACATGAGAGTCAAAACCCTCATCCTCACTGAAACACAGCCATTCTAGAATGGCACTGTCCAATAGGACTTTCGATGATGATGGAAATGTTCTATAGCTGTGTTGTCTGATACAACAGCTGCCAGCCACATGTGGCTATTGCACATTTAACATGTGTCTGGTATAACTGAGGACCTGAACTTTAAATTAAATTAAATTTTAATTCATTTAAATTTAAATTGCCATACGTGGCTCATGGCTACCATATTGGACAGCTGAGCTCTAAATGCCCATCTCTTTTCCCCAAAGACCGACGACCCCCAAGGAGTGACCTATGCCGAGCTAAACACCAAGACACCATCTGAGGCAGCTTCTGTCCCCACCGAGGATCCCCTGGGATCTTGTGAATATGCGACACTGAAGGTTTAGAAGGAGAATAGCAGGAACCACTAGAGGACGGGCTTCTTCCCTGGGAAGGGGAGTATAGATGAAGACGGCTGAGATGACTGGACATATGGAAATCAGGTCACTCTGTGTTCTTCGCTCAAAAATCCATGATAACAAGATTAAGTTTCTCTCTTTTTGCTTCTACACCTCTCAAAAATTACTGGATGGGTTTTCCCAAAATTTGGAGTGTGACTTTAGTATGGTTTGATTTAAAACATAGGCTAAGAATATGTATTATATATATGGGCTGGTGGTACTCATAATATTCATGTAGGGAGTTCTGGACGGCACCATGTAAATAGAATATGATTCACCAGAGAAGCCCATGTGGTTGCTGATGGGTGAGGCATCCCATAGATGCAGCGATTTTGAAAAGGACCACAAAATACGAGACACTCAGTTGTGAACTAACAAAAGCATCCCTAAGTAGCATTCACCCAGGTAAACAGCTAAATGTATTTGCTTCACGATTCTTTCATGCTGCACTGGGCAGCCATCTAGACCCAAGTCAAGACCAGTTTCCTCTCCGACATGAATGAAAGAGTTTACTTAGTGCCATCATACTTCTGTTGATATTATTTCTTTATTATTATTAAAATCAAAGGACGCAATGAAGTTAGACTTACAAGATATATGTGGATTTTGTCACTTGGTGCCCATAGTTTAATTTATGTTAATACATCATTGTAAGGATTTTTCTGAGTGTGGACTTTTTTGCTGTGACAATGGCACCAAATGACCACTTATGCATGATACAAATATATGAGCTTTGCTTCCACAGTTATGACACTCAATCAGATTTGAAAGTAATTTTTTTTTTTTTTGCTGTGGAAAATTCGCCCTCAGCTAACATCTGTTACCAATCTTCCTCTTTTTGGTTGAGGAAGACTTGCCCTGAGCTAACAACTGTGCCAGTATTCCTCTATTTTGTATGTGGGTCTCCACCATGGCATGGCTGACAAGTGGTGTAGTTGCGCGCCCAGGAAATCAAACCCGCGAACTTGGGCCGCTGAAGCTGAGTGTGCCAAACTTAACCACTAGGCCATGGGACCGGCCCCTGAAAGTAATTTTTTAATAATGAACGTGTAAAGATTTGGAATGTATATATAAATATTCTTAAATCATAAGTATATGCTGTATAACTTTCCTCTTTTTAAGTTTTTAATTATGAAATAATTCAATCATAAAGAAAAACATCAAATAATATAAATGGAAATGTGCACACTGTCCTTGTTTTCTAGACATTAACATTTTGCCATGTTTTTATTTCTGCCCCTCCCAATCTGTTCTCCTGTCTCTCTATTCCAGAGGTAAACATTACCCAAGGGAGTGTATATTATTCCTATGATTTTTTCATACTTTTACTACACAGTTATCTATTGATAGCTGATATATGGTAATATTTTATGTGTAATTAAAAAATTTATACATATATATGGAATCATATTGTATATTACAATTCTGTGACTTTTTAAATTTCCCTCAGCATTATGCTTTTGAAATTCATCCAGGTGATTTTTGTGGGTCTATTTCATTGTTTGCTGCATAGAATTCAGTCGTTAACCATACTGTGGAATATTATTCAGCCGTAAAAAGGAATGAGGCACTGTTACATGCCACAACATGGATGAACCTTGAACACTTGATGCTCAGTGAAAGAAGGCAGACACAAAAAGCCACAGCATGTATGGTTCCATTTATACGAAATATCCAGAATGGGCAAATCCTTAGAGACAGAAAGAAGATTAATGGTTTCCAGGGGGCTGGGGGAGGAGGGAATGAAGAGTGACTGCAAATAGGTATGGAGTTTCTCTTTGAGGTGATGAAAATGTTGTAAAATTAGATTGTGGTGATGGTAGTACACCTTATGAATATACTACAAAATACTGAATTGTACAATTTAGAAGCATAGATTTTATAGTATGTGAATTCTATCTCAATAAAAAATAATTTTAAAAGAACTTGGTTGTCTGCCCAAACCATGCTTTCTTTTTACTCTTTCCTTGACTGCTAGATGTTTGGGTTGTTTCCAGGGCTATGCCATCAGCAAAATGCTGCAATAAACATCCTGCAACTGCCTTCTCATTCACTTGTGTGATCTGTCTGGGACATATATTTAGAAATAAAATCTGTCTTCTGTGATGTCCACATCTTTAATCCCACCAGGACAGGCAGACTGATAACTAAGGTGGTTTCACCTATTTATATTTCCATGTATAAATGTATGTTTCCAATTTCCCGCATCCTTGCCAATTCATAAATATGTTAAACTTTATATTTTTTGCTGATTAAAATATGTGAACTCATAACCCATTTTAAAGGTAACCTATATAAAGATAACCTATATAGAGATAAAGATATAAATATATCATAACCTATATAAAGATATCTTATTGTTGTTTTAATTTGCATTTTCCTGATTAGGAGTGAGGTTTATTGACCATTTGGGGTTCCTCTTCTGTGAATTGATGGTTTCTATCCACTGTTGACTTCTCTGTTGAACTGTTGTCTTTTCCTTACTGATTTGAAGGGCCTATTTATACAGTAGGCACACCTTTCTTTCGTAAGCTATATGTTGCAAATATCTCCTGTAAGTCTGTGACTTGTATTTTCATTCTTTTTGTTTCTTTGCATGTTAGCTACTCAAAGTAATTTATCTTTTTTGTGTGTGAGGAAGATTAGCCCTGAGCTAACATCTGTTGCCAATCCTCATCTCTTTGCTGAGGAAGATCGGCCCTGGGCTAACATCCGTGCTCATCTTCCTCTACTTTACATTGGACGCCACCACAGCATGGCTTGACAAGCGGTGCGTCGGTGTGAGCCCAGGATCCGAGCCCACGAACCCCGGGCCACAGAAGCGGAGTGTGCAGACTTAACCACTATGCCGCTGAGTCGACCCCGTCAAAGTAATTCATTTTTTAACTTATATTTGGAGGGATTACTTTGTGCCTTGATGAGCTTTACATGAGAATTATACTCTCCTATATGTTCTTCTAAATTTAAAATTTTGTTTTTTATATTTAATCCATCTGAAATTAATTTTTGTCTAAGATGCAAGGTACAGATCTAGTTTTTCCATTTGGATTATCAATTGTCCCAGTATACTTTATTAAAAGGTTCATTGTTTTTCATTCAAGTTGTGTCTCCAATTTGATGAAATAAGATTGTATCTATTTCGTCTACACCTCCTTCCATTATTAGAGTAGTTTAGACTCTTGGATGGAAATGACAAACGGAAAAACCTAACTTGAAGAAACTTAAAAACAATAAGGAAAGAAGGAAGAAAGGAAGGAAGGAGGGAAGGAAGGAAGGAAGGAAGGAACTGAATCGTGTAACCAAACTAAGGAAAAGACAGAGCTAGAGGCATCCTCAGACAACAGCATCCACATACTCAAATGCCATTTAGACTTTTCTTTTCTATGTCTTTAATCTCTATTTCTATTTCTGTGTGATCATTATTATTCACACCAGCTGTCCCTATGAATCTGGGACTGATAGTGACAGTTCTAGGCGTAGAGCCTTGCAGACTTTTAGCCAAAAAGGTAAAGGAGGCTTTTACTTACGGGATCACTTTAGAAAAAGATATTATTGACTACTTTTGGAAGATGCTAGAAAGCCAACTCACAAAATGTTAAACACAGAGGAAAAAAACCCCAAGCATTTATTCTGCCTTTATTTTATAACCTGTACCTCAACCAAATAGTTGAGGAGGTGAAGTTTCTACTCACACAATTACTACAACTAATACATAAAGAAGAAAACCCCCAAACCATCTCTTTGGCTACGGCATGCCCACTTTATCAGGAATAATAACAGAGACTGTGGTTTAGTGTCTTTCCATCGAGAAACTGTATCTACATGATAGACCATCCAGAGAAAAAGCAGAAAGGACTCTGATGGTCAGAATCAAAGGGATTTATTTTTCCAAGGTTGTACTGATAACAGTGGCAGATCTGATCTAAAACTGAGGCCTGCTAACTCCTAGATCAGAGGTTGGCAAACTTTTTCTGAAAAGGACCAGAGAGTAATATTTCCAGATTTTGTGGGCCATAGGGTCTCTGTTGAGACTACTCTTCTCTGCTGTTGCAGCATGAAGGCAGCCATAGCTGATATGTGAACAAATAGGTGAGACTGTGTTCTAATAAAACTTTATTTGCAAACACAAGTGGTGGGCCATAGTTTGCCAACGCCTGGCCTAGACTAATGCTTTTTGAAATCTGAATGAATTATCAGAATAATAATTGAATTAAACCAGGAAAAATATGTTCTAGGGAGCAAGGAAAGACCTTTTTGCTCATTTCTCAGTTTTTGGGTCTGTAAAAGAGGGAAAAAAAAAAGGATAGAATGGTTTTTGGGGTCCCTTCCATCTTTGACGTGCTAAGCCTCTGGGATCATCCATCCTACGGTGGGTGTGGTTTTGCTTAAGGGAGGGGGCCCAACCAACAACTCTTTGCCAAGAGACCCAGCTGGTTCCACAACTTAGATGGGATCTGTTTCCTGGGAAGCTTTGCAACTTGCGGCTTCACTTTTACAGCCCAAGTCACACCAATAATACAATGAAGGACACTGGGTTGAGAAGAGGGTGAGGGAGCCAAGAGCAGAGAGAACTCTTGAATCATGGGGCCCTGGTCTGGCCCTGATTCTCTCACCTCCTTTGTGTCTTCCCTGGGTATGTCTGTTTCCCTGCTTTACAAAGAATCTCTCTCTTATGCACACACACACACACAAACACACACAGACACACACACAGACTGTATTAGTTTCCTCTGGCTGCCACAATAAAATACCATAGACTGGGTGATTTAAACAACAGGCATTTATTTTCTCAGTTCTGGAGGCTGGAAATCCAAGATCAAGGTGCCAGCCAATTCAGTTTCTGTTGAGAGCCCTCGTCCTGGCTTACAGGTGGCCACCTTCTCACTGTGTCCTCACATGGCCTTTCCTCTGTGCTCTTGAGGGGAGAGAGAGAAAGAAAGCTCTCCGGTGTCTCTTCTCATAAAGACACTAATCCTATCGGATCAGGGCCCCACTCTTATGACCTCACTTAACCTTAATTGCTTCTTTAGAGGCCCTGTCTCTAAATACAGTCACACTGGGGTTTAGGGCTTCAAAATAATGAATTTCGGGGGGACACATTCAGTCCATATTACACACACATGCACACACACACGCACACACACTATTCTACATAGACACCCACAGACAGAGCTACACAGAGCCTCTACACATACACAATCACACACCAACACACACTCTTATGGGTTGAGTTTTGTTCACACCCCCAAATTGATATGTTTAAGTCTTAACCCCCAATATGTCAGAATGTGGCCTTATTTGGAGATAAGGTCATTGCAGATGTAATTAGTGAAAAAGATGAGGTCATACTGTAGTAGGGTGGGCCCCTCATCCAATATAACAGGAAATTTGGGCACAGAGACACACACACAGGGAGAACTCCATGTGAACATGAAGGCAGAGATTGGAGGGATGTGACTACAAGCCAAGAAATGCCAATGATTGTCAGT